AATGACTTTTAAAAATCTACGCCTTGATTGGACCCTTGAAAAAAAATGCCTTTTGAAAAAACTTTTAAAAATCTTGATTGGCCTTGACTTTTAAAAATTGGGACCCTTGACTTTTAAAAATGGATACGCCTTTTAAAATTTTAAAAATCCACGCCTTGATTGGACCCTTGAAAAATGACTTTTAAAAATCTACGCCTTGATGGGACCCTTGAAAATGACTTCTAAAAATCCAGGCCTTGATTGGACCCTTGAAAATGACTTTTAAAAATCTACGCCTTGATTGGACCCTTGAAAAATGACTTTTAAAAATCCACGCCTTGATTGGACCCTTGAAAAATGACTTTTAAAAATCTACGCCTTGATTGGACCCTTGAAAAATTGCTTTTAAAAATCCACGCCTTGATTGGACCCTTGAAAAATGACTTTTAAAAATCTACGCCTTGATTGGACCCTTGAAAAATGACTTTTAAAAAATCTACGCCTTGATGGGACCCTTGAAAAATTACTTTTAAAAATCTACGCCTTGATGGGACCCTTGAAAAATGACTTTTAAAAATCCACGCCTTGATGGGACCCTTGAAAAATTACTTTTAAAAATCCACGCCTTGATTGGACCTTTGATTTTTTTTTTAAACCAGTGAGCGGAGCAGTATAGACGGACGGCGCGGTCATACGATACCCTACACAACTTCCACGAAAATCTAACTTTCTGTGGTTGTATATTTTGAGCTTGGGCACCCTCCTGAGTAGACGAAGGCAGTACTTGTCCACATTCTCATTACCGTGGCCTATAGATCGGCTCAAAAAAAAAAAAAAAACAACAAAAATAAGTTTTGGGTCCACTTCATCCCAAAATTATTATCTGATAATCATCGAAAATTATAGGCGTTGTCCTTGACCATAACTGGAACCCCATGGAACTTTTCAAAACGATCTGCGCTATATTTCCGCCCTCCAGTGTGGTAATGGGTAACTATTTAATATCTCAGTACGTAAGCACCTGTAAATATTTAAGTGTAACTCTCACATCTGAGTACATACGACAGTATAATTGGTATCAATTTAAAGGTCAAAGGTCACTCCTCTTGGATATACTATAAATTTCTCGGGTCTAGGTCCTTCAGGGGTAAACATATAGGCTATAAAATACAAATTTTGTAATTTTCCACACAAAAGTCAGGGTCCATTTGAACCGCTAAATATTGACCGAACTTTATAAAAACAGGCATGCTTATTCCTTGGCCCGATTCCCTTCTCCATGTGAAATTTGGCGATGTTTGGACCATAATTGCGGCCTCTAGAGCGACCAGAAAAACTGACAAAAATTAAGTATTTGGTCCATTTCATCCCCTAAATATTAACCGGTCTTTACCAAAAATAATAGGGAACCCATCCTACATGCAAAATTTCGTGAAAATTGGTCCATTACTGTGGCCTGTATCGTGTTTACAAATTATAATGGACAGACGGGCGGACGGACAGACACACACATCTACATCGATTCAGCTAGTCGAGATATGACGATCGGTATACTTAAAGGTGGGTCTAGGACCAATATTTCGCGGCGTTACAAACTTTTGGGGCTGCACAAAGGTATAATACCCTGACAACATAGTTGTGTAGGGTATAAAAACGGAAGAAGGAAAAGGAAAATATATTAATTAATTATTAGGAATTCGGATTTGAAGAGGGTAGCCACCTCTATTGGCAATAGACTCGTAGGCTCGGACGGGTAATTGAATAAATGGTGTGTGTCGTGAGGACTTTGCTGGCAGGAGGGACACCTGTTTAGGGTTCCGGGGACAATGCGCTCTCGATACGAGTTGAATACATTGCTATATCCGGACCTTAGATGTGCCAGAATTGAAAGGGTTTGCCTAGGAAGAAGCCTCTCACTCTTCGAAATTGCAGGAGGATGTAGGACTTTATTACATCTGTTGCCATTTATGACTTCGGAGACCACCAGTTGGTGCACGGATTTCAACGCGTTCGCTATCGACAATCTGTTGACGTCCGATGGAATGACGTCTTGGATGCCATCACGATAGAGCCTAAAGTCTTGGCGGATGTGTCGCGGAGGTGGATTTGCCATCACTGTGTGGTGGCTGGGATGACACGGTAGATAGCATACCAGTAGGAACTGTCGTCTAGTCAAAAACACATTTTGTTGCTTGACTGACAGCATCCTGGTCTCCTCATGGAGGTGATCGACGCTCGTCATCTGGACACAGCCGGTTGCAATTCGGAGTGCATTATTTTGGGTTGTTTGCAAGGATCTCCATTGTGTGTCGCTAAGGCAAGAAGTCCAGACTGGAGCAGCATAATTCAGGATGGAACGACCTATAGCCTTATAAGTCGTTACCAACGTTTTTTTATCCTTGCCCCTGGAGGTGCCAGCCAAAGCTTTCAGAACTTTATTCGAATTGTGTGTCGCTAAGGCAAGAAGTCCAGACTGGATCAGCATAATTCAGGATGGAACGACCTATAGCCTTATAAGTCGTTACCAACGTTTTTTTATCCTTGCCCCTGGAGGTGCCAGCCAAAGCTTTCAGAACTTTATTCCTAGCTCTCACCTTCTGGTTGATGTAATTGGAATGCGAGGAGAAATGAAGGAGGCTATCGAAAACCACCCCAAGGATTTTCGGATTATGGACGGTGGGGATACGCCTACCTTCAACGGAAATGTCAAGTTCTAGATTGACTTCTCGCGTCCAGGAAGTGAAAAAAGTGACACAGTAGACTTTGCAGTGGATAATTTTGCATTGCGTTCCCGGATGAAGTTGGTGATGGTGGCTAAATAGTTGTAAATTCTTGCACTTATGTCGTCAATGTTAACGCCGGACGAAATAATCGTACAGACATCGGTGTACGATACCACTGAAACATCTGGTGGATACTTGTTGAACAAAATAGGAGATAGGACACCGCCTTGCGATACTCCCATTTTGATCTTGCGATATTTGGATTTTTGGCCACGGAACTTAACGAAGGCCTGCCGCCCATTAAGGGTGGAATTTGTGATGTCGGATATCAGCTCGGAATGATACTTGTTGAACAAAATGGGAGATAGGACACCGCCTTGCGATACTCCCATTTTGATCTTGCGATATTTCGAGTTTTGGCCACGGAACTCAAGGAAGGCCTGCCGCCCATTAAGGGTGGAATTTGTGGTGTGGGATATCAGCTCCGAATAATCGACCGTATCAAACGCCTTGGACAGATCTAAAGCTGTCACAATGGTCCGTTCAGGTGATCGTCGTTGATTGAGGCCATTCGCAATCTTGGAAGTAATTTCTTGCAAAGCCGTTGTTGTACTATATGATTCCCTGAAACCGTGTTGGTGAGGAGCAAGAACGAAATGCTGTTTCAGGTACGGAAGCAATAGAGACTCTAAAATCTTGGCTACTGGTGACAGAAGGGAAATCGGGTGGTAGGATTCCACATTAGTAGCGGACTTATCAGGTTTTAGAATTGGAATAATCCGGGCAACTTTCCAAATGTCAGGAATTATCAACTGTGACATCGATAACTCGAGGACTATGCTCAGATAGCCCAGCCCTATTACTCCAAGCTTCTTTAACATGGACATGGATATGCCGTCTGGACCAAGGGCTTTGGATGGCTTGGAGGTAGAGGCCTCGCTGGATGTAAATGATAGTGGCTGCAAGTCTCTTTTAAGATTCTTGGATCTCCGGATAACTACTCGCTTGGTCCTATTCTGCGAAGACGTATGTTCAATGAATTGGCGGCAGAACTGCAATGCACATTTTTTGGCATCAGAATGTTATCGAAGGAAATAGCAGGAAGATTTGTATTTATTTTGGAACCAGATAGACTCTTAACAGTGTTGTCTGAATGGGAAGTTTTGAGCATTCGGAATATTGGAATAGGATGACTAGAAGGAGTGCTAATCGGAACACTAGAATGAATTCTATTTGATGAATGGCTAGACGCAGTGCTAGCCATTGAATAAGAAGAAAAGCTAGTAGAATAACTAACTTGGCTACCAGGTCGTACTACTGGATGGAGAACTAGACGGAGTGCTAGCCGTAGTACGCGAATCACTAGTAGAATAACTAGTAGGACTACAAGCATTGGAACTGGTAGGAGTTCTGCTTAACGGAAAACAAGCCGGGGAGCTAGCAGCAGAACTGGAGGAAGAGCTAATGGAAAAACTAGCTCTAACACTAGAACTCACACTAGTAGCAGTACTACCGGATGGAAAACTAGACGGAGTGCCTCTAGTGTGGTAATGGGTTACTAAATAATATCTGAATACGTAAGCATCTATAAATATTTATGTGTAACTCCCACATCCGAGTACTTACGACAATATAATTGGTGTTAATTTAAAGGCCAACCTTGGATGTACTATCAACTTATCGGGTATATGTCCTTCAGGAGTAAACATATAGGCCATAAAATACAAATTTTGTAATTTTCCACACAAAAGTCAGAGTCCATTTGAACCGCTAAATATTGACCGAACTTTATCAAAACAGGCATGCTAATTCTTTGGCCCGATTCCCTTCTCCATGTAAAAATTCGCGATGTTTGGGCCATAATTGCGGCCTTTGGGGCGAACAGAAAATCGGAAAAAATAAAGTATTTGTTCCATTTCATCCCCTAAATATTATCCGATCTTTACCAAAAACAATATGGGTCTTCATTGGCCTGAACCCATCCTACATGCAAAATTTCGTGAAAATTGGTCCATAACTGTGGCCTGTATCGTGTTTACAATTTCTAGTGGACAGACGGGCGGACGGACGGACACACATGTCTAGGTCGATTCAGCTAGTCGAGATATGACAATCGGTATGCTTAAAGGTGGGTCTAGGACCAATATTTCGCGGCGTTACAAACTTTTGGGGCTACACAAAGCTATAATACCCTGACAACATAGTTCTGTAGGGTATAAAAATCCACACCTTGGTTTGAGAAAATAACAAAAAAAAAACTTGTTTTTGTAATTTTGTTGTTGTTTTATTTTTCTTTTTTTATTGCGGCAAACTTATTTTACGTTTGAACACCTTCTTCCTGCCCCACAGTACCTCCAAGAGGAAAACCAAAAAACTACCACTCAAACCCATGGGAATGACCATCCAAACCCAAAAGAGATCTGAGGCCGTGAGCACCCTTTGCTCATCACCCTGAGGCTTATAGTGTATTGAGACCTTTTTCAATTTCAGCATATCCCAAAATAGGCTATCATGCCAGGCATGGATCAGACCCGCCGAATGCACGTTGTGTATGAATTCGTTGAGGGCCTCCCGGTAAGGAGAGTTATGCTGCAATCGGAATCCCCATGGCAGCATACTAAAATAGGCCATAGATTTGGGGGTGTGAAACACGAAGTGAGAGCTATACCTCTGTTGACGCAGTAGGACCTGATAGGTGGCCGTGGTGGCATAATAACAATAGGAGGCATTCAATTTGCGGCGATTCTCATGCAGATAGGTGGTGTTCGTGGTGTAGACAATAAATTCCCGCAGGTCTTCTGAGTCCCGCGAATCGGCCACATCGATGAGAATTTTCAATTTCGACTCACGTAAATCGTCGTAATTTCGTATCTGCGGATGATAGGGTGGCTTGTTGATGTACATATTCATGTTGGCCGAAAATCGTGTGGCCATATATAGACCGGTCAGGCCAATTGTTAGGTAGATTATTTTCAGGCTTGCCATGGAATTGGAGGGTCCACCAAATGACTGGCCCAGCAAACCTGGCCAGACACGTTCCGTTATTAGCCAATCCCAAAAGTGTGCGGCTTCTTTGCCCCGCCAATGTTCAATGAAGCCATGACAGAAGGTCAACACGAAGCAGGATACCAGGAAGCAACAAAAGAAATGGGCATTCAGCAGCAGACCGAAAATCTCCTGCATTGAGAATTTATGGCTCAGCGGGACCATTAAAATTATTTGATTTAAATCATAGGTATCGGATACATCACGCCACTCGGAGGAATACATGCCAGGGATCATGGCCATAGGTAGGTCTAATTCATTATCCGCCACCATTTGATTGATAATCGTAAAGTGCGTCTCCTTGCCTACCTGTAGGGGATAGGGCATTTCCAACGAGGCATTATGGGTCTGGGCGAAGAGTATAATAAATTTGGCCACAAAACCATTCATGCGGATTTCACCCTTCGCATCTTTGTAGACAAAAGTTCGGGCGGAATCCTGATCCACATAGGTCCGCAGGCTGATATTTTGAAAATCATACCATTGAATGGGATAATAGGGGATAACCTGTGCGGGAGGAGCTTGCCGCCATTCTTGCCAATAAAATTCGGGATAATTTCGCAGGCTCCAAAATAAGGGGTTCTCAGGATTTTGTTCCTCTGTAAGCATGAGGAAAACATTTGTCATTTTATATTGCGCACAGAGGCCTCGTAAATCCTCTCTGAACTCCTCCGGACTCAAAATATTCTCTGCCAATATCAGTAGTCTACTTTGGCGCATATAATCCAATATCTCGGCCGATTTCAGCAAGGTCTCTGTATCCAATTGAAATGTGAACAGCAGCACCATTAAAATTTCCGAATTATAAAAATCCTTATATAAAAATGTTCTGGCCTCACGGGTACAAATAATTTTTGGCACATCAAATCGGTGTAGCAGCTCCAAAGCCAGATGGCCTGAGGCTTCCAGTCCTTGCACACACACCAGGGAATTAAATTGAAATTCCTTGAAGATACTCTGCAGGATGTTTTGATAAATTCCTGGATATTCAAATTCCTCCTTTGACAAAAAATTCTCCATTTGACAGCGAACCCGACCGGCACTTAAAATAATTCCCACTAAAATCGCAGTGACCAATTTTTGTCGCGTCTCCATAATGACTGAAAATCCGCCAGGCTAACACTTGACACATTTCAAGTGCTCTGAACAATAAACATGACCCCCTTCACCTATCCCCCACCCTTATTTTTAATAGTTCGCAATTCGAACATGTCAATTTTTTTTTTAATGGGCCATTCTGGCCAACCAATCCGGGACAATGTTGCAAAAATTGCCCACAATTTATTTTGCACTGAGATTTCGCCAAGGTTAGATAAAGAAGGGGTTAATGGCCACATTCAAGCGGTTAACTTTTGGGGTAAATGAACTGACACCCACCCACCCGAACGGTTAACCGCAATTATTTCGTTTTTCGTTCTGGCTTAAATGGTTCGTGTTCAGGGTCATTAGGGCAATATTTCAATTATTATTTGCAAAAAGGAAAGCAGAACACGTGGCACGTGACCTAAACCAAAACAAGCCTTAAAGTAGGCAATACATTTTTCAAAATATTTTTAAAGCCTCAAAATAGGCCAGGATATTTGATAAAATATTTTTTCAAGGCCTCAAAAAATGCAAAGAATTTTAAAAACAATTTTTTGGGGGTCTTGATTTTGTATACCCTACACAACCATGTTGTCAGGGTATTATAGCTTTGTGAAGCCCCAAAAGTGTGTAACGCCGCGAAATATTGGTCCTAGACCCACCTTTAAGTATACCGATCGTCTTATATCGACTAGCTGAGTCGATCTAGACATGTGTGTCCGTCCGCCCGCCTGCCCAATATATTTTGTAAACACGATATAGACCAAAGTTATGGACCAATCTTCACGAAACTTAGCATGTAGGACCGGTTCTGACCAATGATGACCCCTATTGTTTTTGGTAAAGATCGGTTAATATTTAGGGGATGAAATGGACCAAAAACTTTATTTTTCTCAGATTTTCTGTTACATGGAGAATGGAATCGGGTCAAAGAATAAGTGTGCCTGTTTAGATAAAGGTCGGTCAATATTTAGCGGGTCAAATGGACACTGACTTTTATGTGAAAAATTACAAAATTTGTATTCTATGGCATATATATTTACCCCTGAATGGCCTAGACCCGAGAAGTTGATAGCATATCGAAGAGGAGTGGTTGACCTTTAAATAGATACGCAATTATGTGGTCGTATGTACTCAGATGTGGGAGTTACATGTAAATATTTACAGGTACTTACGTATTCAGATATTATTTAGTAACCCATTACCAAACTAGAGGGCGGAAATATAGCCCTGATCGTTTTGAAATGTTCCATGAAGTTCCAGCTATGATCAAGGACAACGTTTATCAGATCCGATACTAATTTTGGGATGAAGTGGACCGAATACTTAATTTTGTGTGTGTGTTTTTTTTAGTCGATCTATAGGCCACAATTATAACCCGAACATCACAACACAACCCACAGTGAAGGGAATCTGAACAAGTAATTAGAAGGACTGTAATATCCGGAAAATATGTCAGTGTAAGGAAGAGGTGTTGTCGGGCAGCAGGGTTCAAATATCACGAAATATTGCCCAGGCTCGGAGTAAACATCCGCTGGAAGTTAGAATTCCGTAGTAGTTGTGTAAGGTATCGTATGGTCGGCCACGTCCGACTATATTGCTACGCTCACCGGTTTAAAATTAATTTTTTGGAGGTTCCAACCAAGGCATAGTTATACCCTTCACCACACTGTGGTACAGGGTATTATGTCTTTGTGCATATGTTTGTAACAGGCAAACTGAATCGAGATAGACCCATGGTTCCTTTTGAGAATATGCACAGAATCACTTTCTGAGTCGATTTATGCATATCCATCCGTCTGTCCGTCTGTTGGTGTTAAATTGTAAACAAAGTACAGGTCGCATTTATGATCCGATTTGGATGAAATTTGGCAAAAGTCAATTATTTAGCCCAAGGACGAACCCTTTTGAAATTGGGAAAAATCGGTTCAGATTTAGATATAGCTCCCATATATATTTTCGTCCGATTTAAGGTAAAAGGTGCCTTAAAGTGGCTATATATCTTTCGATTTGCATTTGAGTCTAGAATGATGAGTGGTGAGTTTTGGAAAAATCGGTGCAGATTTAGATATAGCTTCCATATATACTTTCGGCCAATTTAATGTATATGGTGTACCAAAGTCCCTATATATCTTTCGATTTGCACGAAATTTGGCACGGCGTACTGAATTAAGTGTAGAAAGACGTGTGTTAAGTTTCATGAAAATCGGTGCAGATTCAGATATAGCTTCCATATATACTTTCGGCCGATTTTATGTAAATGGTGCACCAAAGTCCCTGAAATGCATTCGATTTGTAAGAATTTTGGCATGGAGTACTGAATTAGGTCTAGAACGATGTGTGTTAAGTTTGCTGAAAATGGGTCCAGATTTGGATATAGCTCCCATATATATTTTCGTCCGTTTTAATGTAAATGGTGTACCAAAGTCCCTATATATCCTTCGATTTGCACGAAATTTGGCATGGCGTAATGAGTTAGTTCTAGAATGATGTGTGCTAAGTTTCCTGAAAATCGGTCCAGATTTAGATATAGCTCCCATATATAGTTTTGTCCGATTTTATGTAAATGGTGTACCAAAGTCCCTATATATCTTTCGATTTGCACGAAATTTGGCATAGCGTAATGAATTAGTTCAAGAATGATGTGTGTTAAGTTTGCTGAAAATCGGTCCAGATTTAGATATAGCTCCCATATATAGTTTTGTCCGATTTTATGTAAATGGTGTACCAAAGTCCCTATATATCCTTCGATTTGCATGAAATTTGGCATAGCGTACTGAATTAGGTCTAGAACGATGTGTGTTAAGATTGCTGAAAATCGGTCCAGATTTGGATATAGCTCCCATATATATTTTCGTCCGTTTTAATGTAAATGGTGTACCAAAGTCCCTATTTGTCATTCGATTTGCACGAAATTTGGTATAGCGTAATGAATTAATTTTAAAATTATGTGTTTTAAGTTTGCTGAAAATCGGTTCAGATCTAGATATAGCTCCCATATATAGTTTTGTCCGATTTTATGTAAATGATGTACCAAAGTCCCTATATATCCTTCGATTTGCACGAAATTTTGTATAGCGTAATGATTTAGGTCTAGAATGATGTGTGCTAAGTTTCGTCCGATATAGGCACCAAAGTCCCTATATATCTGTCGATTTGCACGAAATCTGGAATAGGGTACTGAATTAGGCCCAGAATGATGAATCAATACCAATAAAAATATATTTTGCTTCTTAATTTCCGTTTTCGTTCCTACTCATAAAACATTTTACAATTTAAACGATTTCCGTTTCCCATTTTGCACCCTCACAGCAACTGCTGTTATTATTTTCCTTTCTCTCTTTGTTGTTGTTGTTTTTACTTTGTCCTACAAAAAAATAATAAAAACGCCAGAATATACAATGTTCATATCTCGAGTATATTTATATATGGCACCAGCAGAAAATATTCAAGTGCTGCTTTCACTTTCAGCTGGCGAACAAAAACGAGGGTTTTTTGTTTTTTTTTTCACTTTTGCAACAACAACAACAAGCGCTATGAAAATACAATGGATAAATGGTAACAATAGGTAAACATTAAAATTACGGCGTATGTTTCAGTCACAGTGACGAAATCTTACCTTTAAAGGGACTTCGCTTTGGGTTTCGACCAAAAAAAAAAACGGTAATTCGAAATTTTGTCGCTTTCAGGACAGCTAAGGAGATGTCGGCGATATTTTGATATTTCTACAGGCCCTTCGCATCCTCATGGGATGTTTTGCCCTTTGGAGGTAATTTAAAACCCTTAGAAGTTCGTGTTTTATACATTTTGTTCGGAAGTATGTTATAATTGGCAACCCTGTTGCAAAATGAATACCTCCACATTCCACCTAAAGTAATGCATTTTAAATATGCCCCATTTCAGAGGTGCATTCATATTTTGTTCCGAATACAAAACAAAAAGGATAAAAAAACACGGTTACATTCAACGGCAGCGGCAACTGCCTTCTTTGTAAGGCATTTAGGCATATTTTCTATGAGGAAGGATTAACGGAAATTCCATAAAGAATAAAGAGAGCCTACTAGGCGAACATAAGCTTATATTGAAAGAAAAAAGAATTTGGAGGCCGTTGAAAATATTCTTTAAAAAATCCACGCCTCTTATAGAGCCGTTGAAAATATTCTTTAAAAAATCCACGCCTCTTATAGAGCCGTTGAAAATATTCTTTAAAAAATCCACGCCTCTTATAGAGCCGTTGAAAATATTCTTTAAAAAATCCACGCCTCTTATAGAGCCGTTTAAAATATTCTTTAAAAAATCCACGCCTCTTATAGAGCCTCTTATAGAGCCCTTGGAAATATTCTTTAAAAAATCCACGCCTCTTATAGAGCCGTTTAAAATATTCTTTAAAAAATCCATTCGGCTTATAGAGCCGTTGAAAATATTCTTTAAAAAATCCACGCCTCTTATAGAGCCGTTGAAAATATTCTTTAAAAAATCCACGCCTCTTATAGAGCCGTTTAAAATATTCTTTAAAAAATCCATTCCGCTTATAGAGCCGTTGAAAATATTCTTTAAAAAATCCACGCCCCTTATAACCAGTTAGCGGAGCTGTATAGTCGGACGGGACCGATCATATGATACCCTACACAACTATCACGAATCTCAAATTTTCTAAAATTTTCTCAAATGTCTGGACAATATTTCAGATACTTGCACCTCTTGCCCGATTAATGGTCAACATCACCTCCTACTTACACTGCCATATTTTCCGAATATTACTAATATTCAGTACAGCCCTTCTATACTTGTTGCGATGTTCAGCTTAAAATTGTGGCCTATAGATCGACTCAAAAAAAAAAACAAAAAATAAGTTTTCGATCCACCTCATTCCAAAATAATTATCTGATCATCACCGAAAATTACAGGTGTTGTCCTTGACCATACCTGAATCCTCATGGAAAATTTCAAAGCGATCAGCGCTATTTTTTCGCCCTCCAGTGTGGTAATGGTTTACTAAATAATATCTGAAT